TCAGGTTACAGACTCAGGGTTTGCAACCTCACATGCTGTAGATGATATTGAATTAGAAGAACAAACTGGAGCTAGGAGAAAATCTGTAAGATTCGGGGATCGTGTCGGTATTGCAAAGGAATCAATGGAGGATGAATTCGACCTTAGCCCTTATTTGAAAAAGAATGAACAGGAGACGCCCGGAAGAAGACGTGAAGATCCAGTGTCTAATGTAACATTTAGGAGGAAGCCAAGAGCCTCGTCTCCCAGCACAGGAGTCCAGTACGCTACCAGTACGCGTGATACAAGCCCAATTCTACAATCTAGGAACCGTCAACATTCTCAAAACATAAAACCGGCAACGTACGATGGTTCCACGTCATGGCTTGATTATAAATCACATTTTGAAGCATGTGCAAAGTTAGGTAATTGGGAGGAAACAGAGAAGGGGTTGTACTTGTCCGTATCTCTAAGAGGCAGTGCTCAAGGTGTTCTTGGAAATTTATCGGATGGTAAAGAAATGAGCTATAAAGAGCTGACATCTGCATTAAGTGATAGATTTGCTCCACCAGATCAAGTAGATTTGTATAGAGCTCAGCTGAGAGAGCGAAGACAGAGAGCGTCAGAATCCTTGCCAGAGCTTGGTCAACAAATCAGGCGTCTTGTGAACTTGGCATATCCTACAGTACCTGCAGATGTAAAGGAAACTCTGGCTAAAGACCATTTCATTGATGCTTTAGCTATATCTGATATTCGGCTGAGAATCAAACAAGCCAGACCAAAGAATTTAAATGAGGCTGTAAGAAATGCAATCGAACTAGAGGCTTTCCTGAAAACTGAACAAAGATTGGGAGGCGTAAATTCATCTTTGAGAGCTGTTGGACAAGACACATCTAGGGATGAATTAACAGTAGAGTTGAAAGAGGTGAACAATACGATACTGAATCTTCAAAAGTCGATGATGTCCATTGTTGAAGAGCTGAAAGAGCTAAAACAAAAACATAGTGATCTACAAAAAGACAAATGGACAAAGAAACCTGAATGGAAGAAAAACGCTACTTGTTATAACTGTGGCAAGAGGGGACATCTCAAAAAGGAATGTCGCTCAAAACAGAATCCCCAGAATGTCAATAAAAACCATGCAGTGCAGAGAGAAACAAAACAAACAAAAGAGTCATGCAAAACGGAGTCTCCTGAAAAAGTAGGGATTACTGGGGATGCTGGTATTTTTGTTAAAGCATCTATTGATGGTTTTGATTTAAACATATTGGTTGACACAGGAGCTACACTGTCTCTTTTGGCTAAACATGTATATGATAAAGTTCTCGAAAGTAACAGCTCACTTGAAACTTTAAAAAAAGTCAGACAGCCAGTGCTATCAGCAAGGAATGACCCTCTTACGATTTATGGGAAACTCAGTGTCCCAGTCCTTATAAGTAACATTTTGTATAGCACCGAAGTTGTTGTTACAGAGTTGACTGTCGATGCAATTTTGGGGTTAGACTTTTTGATTGGAAACAAATGTGTTGTCGATTTAACAACGCAGATTTTGGAAGTAAATGGGAAACCCTCACCTTTGAATAAAGCGGGTCATATTGGATGTTACCGTGTTGCTGTGGCAGAAACCATTCATATACCACCTAGGTCTGAAATTGTCATGAATTGCAACGTGTGTATACCTGACAAGGAGCCATTGCCAAGAGGTTTAGGGATACTAGAAGGCGATAAAGACTTTCTGAAATCTGAAAGAGGGATAATTGGCAAGGTGCTTGTCACGAATCAAAACTCCGTTCCTTGTCGACTGATGAATCCTAGCCCAGATGTACAAGTCATTCATAGTGGAACTGTTGTTGCAAATTTGACACCAGTAGATGACATCAAGCGGCAACAAAACAGTTAGAAGAATTACCAAAAGCTCTCAAAGAATTGCTTGATAGATCAAGCAAAGGATTGAGCCAGCAACAGACCGAAGAACTGAGGTCATTACTCTTGCGGAATGTAAATTTGTTTTCTAAAGATGACAGGGATTTCGGAAGAACAGATATTGTAAAACATTCCATAAATACAGGGTCAAGAGTACCGATAAGACAGCCTCTGAGAAGAACTCCTGTTCACTGGAAGGACAATATAGACAAACAGATTGAAGAGATGCTCAAGTCAGATGTCATAGAAAAATCAACAAGTCCTTGGGCGGCCGGAGTAGTTCTTGTTCGGAAGAAAGATGGGAGCCTTCGATTTTTCGTAGATTATAGAAAATTGAACGACGCTACTATCAAAGACGCCTATCCTCTTCCGAGGATAGATGAGTCCTTGGATCATCTTTCAGGATCCTGCTGGTTCTCAACCCTTGATCTATCATCGGGATATTGGCAAGTGGAAGTAGATCCAGTTGATAGACCAAAGACAGCGTTTATTACAAAAAAGGGGTTATATCAGTTCAAGGTAATGCCGTTCGGACTGTGCAATGCTCCGGCGACCTTCGAACGCCTCATGGAGACAGTCCTGTGTGGTCTCCAATGGGATATATGTCTTATATATCTTGATGATATTACTGTGTTTAGCAAAACCTTTGAGGAAATGACAGAGAATCTGCAGAAGGTCTTTGATAGATTACAGTCAGCTGGGCTCAAATTGAAAGCAAAGAAATGTACTCTTTTTGGAGAGCAAGTTGAATACCTTGGACATATAATCTCCAAGGCCGGAGTAGCAACAGATCCTAAAAAGATAGAAGCTATCAAACACTGGACAGAGCCGACATCTGTTAAAGAAGTAAGATCATTCATTGGGTTATGCAGCTACTATCGGCGGTTTGTGAAAGATTTTGGTAAGATTGCAAAACCTTTGCACAAGTTAACAAACAAAGATGCCAAATTTAAATGGACTGAGGAATGTCAGTCCGCATTTGATCAATTGAAAGGTTTCTTGGTCAATGCACCTATACTAGCTTTCCCTGACTTCAGTAAACCTTTTGTTCTTGACACAGATGCCAGCGACATGGCCATAGGAGCCGTCTTATCACAGAGCCAGAACGGAGCAGAGAGAGTCATAGCGTATGCTAGTAGGACACTCAGCAAGGCAGAGCGAAAATACTGTGTCACCAAGAAAGAGCTATTAGCTGTCGTCTCTTTCGTAAAATATTTTAGACATTATCTGTATGGACGGAGATTTGTGGTTCGTACCGACCATGGCTCGCTACGATGGCTCCTCAATTTCAAACAACCAGAAGGCCAACTAGCGCGTTGGATCGAGATTTTGGGCATGTATGAGATGACTGTCGAACATCGCCCAGGCACTCAACACAGGAATGCTGATGCCCTCAGTCGACGTCCCTGTGGCAAATGTAAATACGATCCAGACTGGGAGGCTCACCTTCAGGCGAAGATAGAAAAGGAGCCCAATAAAGTCCTTGGTGTTTCCAGTGGAAGCGAAGATGGTTCAAGTAATAACAATGAAGATGAAGAATTTTCTCTTGCTGATCTGCAGAGTAAAGACAAGGAAATTAGTCTAGTGAAACATTGGCTCGTGAGCAATGACAAACCAACGCAAACTGATCTTAGTTACAGTGGAGTCATGTCAAAGTCTCTTTGGGCACAAAGAAATATGCTGGAGATAAAAGGTGACTTGCTTTATAGGAAATGGAAAGATGACAAAGGAACTACTCTCCAAGCGATCATTCCATTTCAAGACAGACGCAAAGTTCTGGCATACTGTCATAATCACAAAACAGCAGGACACTTAGGAGTCAGAAAGACACTTAGTAAGGTTAGACAAAGATTTTATTGGCCCGGTTTGCAAAGAGACGTGAGACATTATGTAAAAGGATGTGAAGTATGCACTAGATCTAAAGGTCTGACGAAAACAAAAAGAGCTCCAATGAAAACATTGGGAGCTGGTATGCCAATGGAAAGGATTGGTATTGATATTTTGGGAGAATTGCCTCGAACAGAGGTAGGCAATCGGTACATAGTTGTTATCTGTGACTATTTCACGAAGTGGGTTGAGGCATTCGCGATGCCAAACATGGAAACAGTCACTATTACCAAACTGTTGGTTGAACAGGTGATATCACGATTTGGGGTGCCGGGATCTGTGCATTCAGACCAAGGTAAGCAGTTTGAAGGGAAAATTTTCACTGAAATGTGTAAAATATTGAATATCAAGAAAACACGTACAAGTCCTTATCACCCAGAATGTGATGGACTTGTCGAAAGGTTTAACAAAACCTTACTCACGATGTTGAAGACTCTTGTAGATGAGAATCAGTCAAACTGGGATGATCTGTTACCTTATGTGTTGATGGCTTATAGATCAGTGGAAAATGAGACCACTGGATTTAGCCCCAATTATTTGATGTTGGGAAGAGAGGTTGGTACACCTCTTGATATTCTTTTTGAGATGCCATCTAATATTAAGGAGATCCCTGCTCAGAAGTGGGTTTGGGAGCTTAAAGAAAAAATGGAGTTAGCACATTCATTTGTGAGAAACAATTCAATAGGCTCCATGCTCAGACAAAAGAGTCTACATGACACAAAGTTAAGTTGGCAGACATTTGAGAATTATTTTCCACGATATGCTGTTGGGAAATCTCCTAAGCTCACACAGTTTTGGCGAGGTCCATTCATAGTAGAGGGAAGATTTTCTGATGTCACATACAAAGTTAATTGTGGTGCAAAAGGAAAATCTCAGGTCATACATGTCAATCGTATGAGGCCAAAGAATCCCCAAGTGTTGAGAGGAGAAGTAGCTTCTTCTGATACTCAAGACTTAGGCACTGATGATATTCAGGAGGAGGAAACTTTGCTGTTTGAGAGTAATAGTAGAATCGAACCCGAAAACCGCAGAGAGAGACGAAGACCAAAATATCTCTCCGATTATGTTGTTGATATATAACTCCTTTCATATTTGTTTGCCAGAAAGAATTATTCTGTAGATTTTAGTTACTGCTATTATCTTTTGACATACATGTATACAAATTATGCTATAGCACTATTCATAAAAATGTTTCTGTTTCATTTTAGACAATGCCTCTAACCAAGCTCACACCTAGAAAAGAGTCAAAATGTCCCATGTGTCGATTTAAGACTTATGACATGGCGGAAATGACTAGGCACATCACAGAATGTGGGTTGAAACACATTGAAAGGAAATTTTCTTGTGATAGAGAGGATTGCAACTTTACTACTAATAAAATGGGAAATCTTACAAGACATAAGAAGAGACAGGAGGGGCAGAATGATGATGTTCGACAAATCACATCTTCACATTACAAGAATCAGAAAAGTGACAAGGAAACAGCAAGTGAGAGTTCACCATCTGCGGATTGCAATGATAAGAATAGTACCTCACAGGATGCTGGTGAAGGAAAGGCAATCTCGGACGAGGAGTGGATAGATGCCGATCCAGGGGATCTGCGAAGCATATTAGGTGATGTTTCTGAGACTGATAATGAAAGGGAAGAGGACCCAAATGCAAAACAAGTTAATGAAGATGCAAATATTGGAAGAATCTTTCGGAAACCTACAACTCCAATGCCGATATTTGCTCCTAAGCGCAAGAACCCTCTTGTCGCATCTTCCGGACTTCCAGCACGCCCTTTAGTAAGAAAACCTCAGGTGTGTGTAACTGGTACACAAACAGAAAGGAAGATTCGAAGAGTAGAATGGACAATTACCAAGTGGAGAGAAGGTGAACGAGACTTTGAGCACATTGTGATGATTGAAGAAGATTGAGGAGTTTGAGAGACAAAAGACTGTGCAGAGAAAGCAAAAGTTTGTTTTGTCAATTTGAAATTGTTGTATGCGTATAATTTCCTAAAAGATGAATGTATCAATATCTGATTAATCATTACTTCGAAAATAATCAATAAAGCAGGTAGCTGAGTTGTATTATAATATATTTGATTAAAAAAAAAAAAAAAAAAAAATGAGCATGCGAGGTCGCATGGATTTTGAGGCGTGGGTAATGAAACAATCCGGGAAAAGTTATTCCGGTACAAGCGGTATTTTAGTCATGTTTCCGCTAGATGGCGTTGTTGGTCACATAGGGTATAAATACAAGTGAAGCTGCAGAGCTGTGTAAATTGCGAAGTTGATGCTGAAGTGGTAACACAAACGGCGGACCATTAATGATCAGAGGTAACTTTTAGTTAATGATAATAAATAAATATTTAAAGCGTTAGACGTGACTGAACAAGTCTTTCCTGGCTTTAAATATTATTTATTACCAAGAAAGCTACCGAGGGAGCCAGTAAGAGCCGGTTATCATAAGAGCTGAGCTGTAAGAGCCAGTAACCATAAGAGCCGTGCTGTAAGAGCTAGTAACCAGAAGAGCCGAGCTGTGAGAGCCGATCGCTTATGAGTCAGCGTCACTTTGATTTATTGTACCTAATTGATTAAAGACAAGTAGTCTAAACATTTATCTGTATATATTGCTTAATCACATATTTGTATATTTTGATCCTGCCAGGTCCTCAGAAAGTTAACTGGGGGAATTCAGCCGCCTCTGCTATTTGTTATTATATTATTAGGTTTCACGCTACAAATTCACAAGTCTACAAATGTTAAGTAGACGTTTGTCAGATTTTGATAATGAGAAAGTAAGGATGGTTATCAGAACCACATTTATAAATGTTTTATTTTCTAGCTGTATTCTAACTTCTTGTTTTTTCAAATATCAATACCCCCTTCCCCCTAAAACGTTGTCACGAACCCGCATTTTTTATGGCTATTTTTAAAATTTTGATATCATTGCAATTAAATTATTTCTTAATAACTGCGGCACTGATCACAGTAGCCTAGTGTCTATGGGAGAAAGCTTCGTACACCATGGGAGCTCAGCATTTGATTGTCCAATCTTTCTGTTGCCGTGCCAAACCGAGATATTTTAAACACATGTAGAAAGTGACTATTCCAGTCAATGGTCTTTTACCTGGGACCTTAAAAACCGAAGCCTAAATTAGATCCCTGCATGCCATGCATAAGCGGGAAATAATTCATATCATGAAATATGGTGATAAAGAACAGTATTCAAGCTCAAAAGTCCATTCAAACAATAAAAATCAGGAGCAGAGCAAACAAGGACCTCTTGAACATCAGAGGTGGGATCAGGTGGCATAGAGAAGTGAGCATCCCTGATGACCGGTCACAACATAGGGAATAACAGAAAATTCAATCGACAAATCAGTGTGTAAATAATGGCCTAACAATTTGTATGAAAAACATCAGTCAGCATTTGACTTAATGATAGATTTTTTTGCTGACAATGTCATTGTATCGAGTGTAGAACTTATGAAATGATGACTTTAAACGAGACTGTTGATATTCTTGTTTCATTAACTTGTTTGCCAATAACTTACCTCGTTTAGAAATGGTTCATACGTAGAGCATGCTCTTTCGTAACGAATCAACTGAGAGATAGAAACCCCGTATGCAGCTGATAACAGTATATTGCTGCATAAGTAAGGGGAGTTGACGATTGAAAAGTTAAAGTCATCACGTTTATCATGAAGCTCTGTTGTTAGGTTACCATTAACGTCTTTTTCTAGTAAATTATCCAGGTATGAATCAGATGTGTCATACTTTGTGGTATCTTTAATTTCAAGCTCACTGGGATATATCGTGTCGACATATGAATGGAAATAACTATTGTTAATTGATAATATGTTGTCGATATATCGAAATGTCGAGTTGAAGGCCACAGCAAGTATTTTCTTCTCATGTATAAGATTTTGAATAAATTCTGTTTCATATGAATACAAAAATAAGTCTGCTAAAACGGGGCGCAATTGGTACCCATGGGAATTCCAGCAGATTGTTGGAAGACCTGGTCTCCAAATACCACATAGATATAGTCAATCAGAAACTCAAATCTTTTTAATATCAACTTCAGAGTATTTGTGTTTACAATCAAAATGTTTTTTTAACAAAATAATTTTTTTAAATGACCAATGACAAGGTAAATGAATTTTCGAATTCCATTTTTATTGAAAATGCAGCTGTCAATAATGTCAAAAACCTGGACATTAACTTATCGCTGGGAATGGTTGTATACAGTTGAAAACTCGTACGTTTTTATGGTATTTTAGTAAAATTTTGTGATTTTAAAGTTTTCCAAAAGTTCCTTGCAATTTTTAAGTATCCACATCTGATTTACACAACTTCTCAAATATATATATGCACAGTACTCCTGAAATTTCTCCTTCACTGCTGTTTATATTTTAGTGAGGAGTAAAGAAACAGGTTTGGAAGAACTTTTACTCGAACCCGCTAATCGTTAAATATCGTTAAATAAAATGCAAACTTGTGAATAGCGCGGCTTTATATATAAATACTGGAAAACATGCAGAGAACTGATTGGTAAGTTGCAATACAATGAACTCATTCAAGTTAATTTGCAACAAATTCAAGTTAAATATCTTGTTTTATACAAGTAGAAAAAAATGTACAAGTATGATATATCTATCTTTCTCCCCACTTACTCTCTCTCTACCACTCGCTATCTCTCCCCACATACACTCTCTCCCCACTCACTCTTTCACTCACTCGCTCTCTCTCCCCCACCCACACACTCACTCTCTCTCCCCACCCATTCACTCTCTCTCTTTCACCACTCGCTCTCTCTATCCCCACTTACACTCTCCCTCCCCATTGTCTCTCTCCCCACCCACACACTCACCCCCTCACTCACACTGTCTCCCCACCCACAGACTCACTTCCCCCACACTCACTTACCCTCCCCACTCTCTCTCTCCCCACCCACTCTCTCTCTCTCTCCCCACTCTCTCTCTCCACTCATTCTCTCTCTCTCCCTCTCTCTTTATTTATTTCTTGTCCGTCTGTCTCAGTAACATATTAGTCTTGTAAAATAAATTATATATATGTCTGATACATACATGTTTCATAGTTTTTTTACAATAAAAAATAATGGGGAAAATACTTTTTCTAACACAAAGTGAAAATTTTTATCGTTATTTTAAAATAAATTATAAAATGTTTATTCTTGATCTTTTTACTTTAAAATGGACTTAGCAGAAATGTTTATTTATGCAAAAATATGAATGCAATTTAAAATTATACGGGCGATAACTTCACATAACAGAAAATACTGTTTCCCAGTTCACAATTAGATCATTGCGTTGTTTGTTTGCGTATTACTGAAGAAGAATTTTATATGCTTGAAGAACAATACTTATATGTTTACTAACATGCAAGGAAGATGATATGTCAGCTTGAAATCCCAGTTGGATATTATTTATTATCTGTTGTACCGATATGAAAAGTATCTAAAAATATCCACATGCTGAGAGGAGGTCTATAAATTATTCTTTATTTGATCAAGTATGTAATATGGGTTTGACATTCACTATCCGTTTCCCTTGCATGCATTCAGTTTGCTTATATTTTATATTTTTATAATTTTTGTCCATTTCAAATATCGTGTCGTTGCGTTGAAAGTTAGCTAGCCAAAATGCATTTGCATCATGACTCCTTCCTTGTTCTACGCATTACACGGTATGTCATATTTTTTCATTGCATATGAATGTTTCTTTTTGCTTTAATCAAATGCGTACTGTTAATAAAACATACATGTAACCTTTACTTCTTGTATGGTTCTACTCTACCAAACATAGCTTTTGAATGGACAGCGTTAAATGATTTACCGTTGGGCCATCAGTGTAATTTGAGTAAATGTTCACCTCATAATAGTCCTTAGTCATGCTTCTGGGAAAATTACAATCATTCCATTAAGCAGTAGAGCCATTCAATAAAAAAAAGGGAGCCATGCAAAATGTGTGCTTAACAATTGTTACAACATTGCCTCTGTCGCGCATACCGCCCTCCTCAAGTCACGTAACGTTAAAGAGATAAAATTTGTAAATCCTAATGAATTTAAAACAACCCGCATTACAATGTGCATATGCATTATATAAATAAAATCCTTATAAGAGGATTTTCGGTGACAGGAAACGATTTATTTTCACTTTTATCTTATAAACCCTTTTATATTTTTAAACCTCGTTTCAGACAGCAAGAACGCTTGATTTGTTTATAGGAAAGACGTACCTGGCCAGAAGGGATTTTTTTTCCCTCTAGGTTACTAGAAAAAAGAGTGCGTTACAACCCCTAGCCCCTTCAAACTCGCGTCTATAGATACGCTTATACGAATCTCGCATGGTACTTGATTCTAACACAATGTGTTACAATACTTTTTTTGTACAGTTTAATATTTTTTGCACACGCAACTTCAAATGTGCTAATAGTGCCAATCACACTTAGTAAAAATTATGTAAATTAGACTCAGAAACTTTTTTCATAATGCAACATTCTGTTTTTTTCTATTAGTAAATTTTTTTACATGTAACTAGAAAGGGAAAAAGACGATACTATCTTGTATAAACTTGTGTCAATTCTTGGTATAAAAAACCTCTTTTTAAGGAATCATTTTTTTAATGTAAAAAACCTCATTTTGTTAAAGACTTTGTTGACACTAACAAACGACAAAAGACATTGGTAAAGATATTTTAGCTAATCACTTTTTGTGGCCCTGATATCGAAGGTCAGAGGCATGATGATTTAGTTCTGTGTTATTTTAATTTTTCACTGTTATTTTAATTTTTCACAAATGTAATTTTCCCTATATTTTTATAAGAAAAAGTTTGAGACTTTATTCATAGAAAAGTAAAGATATTTACGAGTTCGAATTTTCTTATCAATCTTCCATTTTTTCATGC